GTGTACAGTATGAGCCAATCAGTGGCAGTAATGACAGAGCATGCGCTGTTATGCAAAAACCGCGATAGAGTGAAGCCGTGGAAGTCAAAGCGCGAAGTGGCGAGGGTTCACTGTATATATACATATATATAGATAGATAGATACAGATATAGATATATATAAAATCATAAGTATCCTGGTTTTGTTTCTCTAGAGAACCCCATCTAACACAAATATTCTAATGATATTAATACTAAATTCCTCTCCATAATGTATCTCATATTACATTATGATAATAAACATCTATAGCAGTATTTCCCAATGTGGATGGCAACCACATCCCTTGGAGGGACATTGGAACAATCCAGGGGGTTGCAAGGGCTGCAAAGCTATACTTTCTCCTGGATTATAGGCTGTGGTACAAATGCCACCAGGGTACTACGTAATTTTTTTGAAAGGGGGGCAGTAGGACAAGTGAGTTTGGGAACCTATGGTCCATAGTAAAAACCAAATCCAGAAACTGTCTTATAACTAATGTTACTAGAAATATTCTCTTTTCTTCATACCCTTATTAAGGTATAATACATATATCATACAGTTCAATAGTTTAAATGCATTAAAAAGAGTGGTGCAATCATCACTACAACCGATTTTAGAACATTTTCTAAATCTTTGTACTCATTATTATTAGCTCTCTATTTCCCCTTCCACATCCCCAAAAAACCATGAATCCTGTTACTCTCTCTATAGAACTACCTATCCTGGGTTTCAAATAGAGAAAATTGCACAGAAACAGAGGAAAAATAACAAAATAAAACAGAAAAACCTCAGTTGAAAAGATAACAGAAAATAATAAAAAAAACTAGAATAAATATAAAATGTGTCAAATGAGAGAACAAATTATAAGGTATCAATATTTAACCTAACTACATCTGCATTAGTCCAATTTCCAGTGCATTCTGCATGCTAGCAAAGCTATTCACGTCCCTGATCAATGGTCATCATCCGAGGCTTCATCCACGTGGGGACCCTGCACATGGATTTGGTACTTCCATTGTCATCCATACCTTCTACAAACAGGGTGCTCAGAATTTAAGCTCGAAACCAATCCTTCCTCCAGTCTTCGATTTTTTTAATTTACAATCCTTGGATCACACAGGCTGGTGTTCCTCCACGTGGACTCAGCTGACACCTCACTTAAATGGCTGCTTGTTTAGAATTCTTGGTAGAGAAATTACCAAAATGTCCTTTGCTCATCATACCCATATTAAATAATTTAACATTTAAATGCAATTTCCACCAATACTTTAGCAAACGAATCCCAATTAGTGCCTATTCCTTTTACCCATTCTTATAGATAAATACTTACCCCATGTTCTTTAGCAGCTATGACAACTTTCAGGAGAACGTCCTCTTCGACAAATGGTCTCACAGCATCATGGATAATCACGACTTCGGGCTTAGAAAGCTTCGTGTCGGGACCATCCTCTGCCAGTGCTCTTAGTCCATTGAAAATTGACCGATGGCGGGTCACTCCAGATTCAACCAGAGAAACGCGCTTATGCTGGTATCTCTGAATGATAGCCTCCATTGCTTCCGTGTTCTCTCTAGTGACTGCCACGACAACGTCTTCTATCCAATGCACGCTGAAAGAAAAGTGAATGCACACAACATATACATTGATTCTTGAGCAACAGCCACGTTAAGAAAAAATTAAAAATTAATAACTAAATCAATTTCAGGTGCTTTTTTCTAGTTCTGATAAAGAGACAAATAAAAATACAGATAAGAGACAATTTCACACCATATCAGAAAGTTGATTTAAGAAGTTTAAGTTCAACAATTAGAACATTAGTCTGTTGTCTGAGAAAATAGAAGGTAACAGGAATATGCTAATAAACTGGGTTTTGTCCCAAAAATATTTTTCTCAATAGAATAGAAATAAATCAAAGTTCTTTTGAATTTCAAAAGTTGACTGTCTCTTAGGCACGTAGCCAACCATTTGAATAGCAACAAAGATAGGTATAATGTCTGACACAAAATCTTGCCTACATCAAAGTAAAACTATAGTTTAAATGATGGGACACCGGCTATCAAAAAGTATAGCGTCTGGGGTCTTAAAGGCTTGAAGGTAATCAAGCGGCCATCAAGCTCAGAAGCAACAAAGCCCACATGGAAG